ATACATATGCATATGTATACATATATATATATATATATATGTGCGTATATACATGCACGTTCACATACTGGTATGTGTCAGCATGCGTGCGTATGCAACGGGACATGTTTGTGCAATGTGAATGTTCTTTCGAGGGCATGTTCCAAGCGCAGAAAGAGTCAGCATGCGCCATTACTGTGCAAGTTTATATTGGTATGTGTGCATGTATGTATGTATGTATGTATGTATGTATGTATGTATGCATGTACGTATGTATGTATGTATGTATGTATGCATGCACGTATGCATGGATGTATGTATGTATGTTTGTATGTATTTACATGTGTATATATATATATATGCATGACACTATGCACAGACAGACATGTTTGTTGTGTGTTATGTACCCAAAGCCAATTGTTTTCATGGGGTTGCGGATTCTGCCAGAGCTGTTCGGGGTTTGGGCCCCAGGAGATGAACTGGCTGACAGGGCTTAACGAGCCACCAGAGGCCCGTCCGATTCGAGAGTTGTTGCCTCTTGATGTCGGTTATGTCGTGCCATGGTGCTTGTCATGTGCCGGTATGCAATGCTCCTTCATTGCATGTTGTGTCCATCAAGTTCTTGTATGTAAGAGCTTGACAGCAAGGCGGGTCCCCTTTGCGCAGTACCCCGGAAGGACGTATTGGATCTCCTCGAGTTCTTGATCAGCCGGGACAGGGTCTCAGCCCCCTCACTTGGCAACACTCTGCCCTGGTCGGTCGTGGATGGGAGAATCTGCTGCTACTATGGTGCTGCTTCTGCCACCACCGGAGCATGTATCAGTGTATTCGGGTACTAGCAACGAGGGACGTGCGGGGTGGAATGCCAAACGGAAGTGAAGTCGGAGATTTCCCAGGTCGACAGTATGCAGGCCGCCTTCAATGCAATCGACGGTGGCGAACCCGGGTCGGTGTCCAACGCTGAGCTCCGTGGCCACAAGCATCAGCACTGGCAATGCATGACCATGCCTGTCGATACTACTACCGTGCATATCACGAGTTTTGGGATTGGCACTGGCTGCGAGTGCGGGAGGACCAGCTAAACTGTGCAAGCATGAAGGTAGTACAGTACTCCGTGAAAACAGCCGTTACACATCCGCAAGATCAAGACGAAGCCCCCGGTCTCAAGAAGCCGCTAATCAAAGGTTGACACTCCGGGAGCTCGAGATGGGCCTGAAGTCCATGGGCTGTGACCCGGGCCTTTCTCAGACCTTTCGAGTTTTTGTTTTCCAGCCTAGCTCAAAATTTATGGGTTTCGGTTTTGAAGAGCTTAATGACCGCGCTGCGGATTCTCGATTTAGAGGATGTATTGTGAGATTGTCGGTTGCTGCTTGGTAGTTGAGAGGCTGAAACATAGAGACTTGGAGCATCGATGCAGGTCCAGTTTCTGGCGACATTCTAGCAGTATTGACGTCCTGTTGACTTAGCCGGGTTTAGGCCAAGACTCCCTGGCGCGCCCAGGGCCTCTGCCTCAGAAACTACTCTTTCAATAATTAGAGTTGGTGGGGAGCACCAAGGCCAAAGCATCCCGCACCTTGCTCCCCCCTCTTCAGAAAATTCTGACTGAACTCACCTTCCTGAATCTACCGAGGCCAGAAATTTGCGGGACCGGACGAGTCCGCACCTTGCCCGCCAGAGGAAGGGCAGAATGAAGCGGGAGTGCATCGATCTTATCCGAAGACTCCCGAATCTGAGCCGCCGGGTGGAGGGCCTGAGTACCAGGTTGATGTGGTTCCAAACCAAAAGAAACAACTCCATATGGAGGCTAGAACAGGCCTGTAGCATGAGAATCCTCGAAGCCAAAGCGTTGAAATCCTCCGACAAGGCACGGATAGAGAAAGTCTTCCGCTACCTGGATCCCGGCGGTGAGGGAACCGTTTCCATGCAGGCGGCGGTCCTTACAGGGCTCCTGCGCTTTTGGAAGATTATCTTGCCGGACATGGTTTCGTCACGATGTTTAGTTGCGGCAGGTCGTGAACCCCAGTCTTAGAAGCCGACCCGGGACCCCCGGGAACTGTTCCTGACTCTTGTTTCCGCCTCGTTACAGGTGGTTGGCGGATTCAAGCCACTGTGCCTGGCAATCATGCCATAAGTTTCTATACAGCATTTCTGACAACTATGCTCCGTTTCATCTGGCAAAGAAACGCGTTTCCGAACAAGCGACACATGCGATGATGCCAGATGCCACTGTATCTGTTGCCACGCTGTAGGACAGACATTGACAGCAACCCATGCCGCCACAGGAGTGGATGGTGCTCGATCAGCTCTGGAGGGAATTTGCCCCTTGTCAACAGTGGATACTTTCGCTCCGATGTTCTGCAGAATGCAGGAATTCCTTCGGTTGCATGTTCCTCCTGACCCCGACACCTCAGCTAGTATCATCTTTCTATGAGTCTATATACTGTAGCCGGGCTTGACGCCTGTACGCCGCACATCCAGGCAAGTTTTTCGGGTTTGTTCAGAGCATCTCTTGCCTGACAGGGTAGTGAGGAGACACCACAAAGTCCCCAACCCCGAAGCTGTGGCTTCCTATTCCGACACAGCATGTGTGCTCGGACATTCAGGGGTCTCTTAACGTTCGGGATCGCTCAGGATCTAACGATCCGCGAGTTCGTCCAATTCCTCCAGTACGCGTTCGGAGAGAACCTGCAGGTCTTTGACATAGAACCCCTTGTGTAAGTTGTTAGCTCCCTCTCCCTCTTTTGCTTAACGTTACGGATTTACACATACCTGTGTGGTTGAATGGATGCATAGGCGGACGGATAGGTAGATGGATAGCTAGAGGCAGAAAGATGGTTAAGTAGGTAGGTAAAAACGTAGGTAGGTAGGTAGGTAGGTAAGGTTAGTTAGGTAGGTAGGTAGGTAGGTAGGTAGGTAGGTAGGTAGGTAGGTAGGGAGGTAGGGAGGTAGGCAGGTAGGTAGGTAGGGAGGTAGGAGGTAGGTAGGTAGGTAGGTAGGCAGGTAGGGAGGTAGGCAGGTAGGTAGGCCGTTAGATAGGTTTAGGTAGGCAGGTGTGTCTGTACGCATGTCTATGTGCATGTGTGTGTGTGTGTGTGTATCTGTGTCTGTGTGTATGTATGCAGATCATCTTGCAACTTTGTGAGCGCGAGTGCTGTAATCCCAAAGGGTTGGTTTAGGGATCATTAAAGTTTTAGGGCCGGAGCCCTTCACGGCCAGCATATCTACTTCAGCCCTTAGACGCCCTGGAAATCTCGAGTTGGAAGATATGAAGCACAAGCCCTAAATCTATAAACCCATGAATGAAGCCCAACGCCTAAGCCCTACATAAACCGTCTTAAACTCTAAAACCCGAAAGCGTAAACCCTAAACCCTAAACCCCGGATGATGCTTCAGCTAAAGCATGCGGACTGGGAGTCTCCTATAAGATGGACCCCGACAAAGGTCCTGATCAACACCTTATTGCAAGGAGTTCCTAAACGGGCAGACGGATTTTTTGAAACCTTTTTTTAAGGCCTAAAAAGTAAAACTCTAGATCTTGAAACCCTCGAAACCGCAAAAGTCCTAAACTTCAAACCGCAAACCCTCAACCCCAGAAATCCCAAACCCTCAATGTCAAAGATCCCTGGTAGAGCCCTTAACTTCTCAAGCCCGGAACCCTACAAGTCCTTGAAATCACACCTAAACCCTAAACTAAACCCCTGAACCCTAAACCCTAAACCCCTAAACCCTAGACCCTAAACCCTAAAACCCTAAACCGTAAACTAAGCCCTACCAAGCACATCCTGCAGGCAAGGACGGCAAAGCCGCACAGGAGCCGGGCCGGCTCTGGGGGGTTTGGGATTTAGGCTTTAGGATTTAGGGTTCAGGGGTTTAGGGCTTTAGGGGTTTAGGGCTTTAGGGGTTTAGGGATTTAGAGGTTCAGGGGTTTAGGGGTTT